CAGTCTGGAGATTCCACACGAGGCACATTTGTCTGAAAACGCGCGTCGGGGCGGAATGGATAAACTGACTCACCGGTCTAAGCACTCGTTCGAACAAGCTCGTCGGCAAAATCAAGGACCGGAAATCGTAACACGAGCACCGACAACGCCCGGTTCTCAAGTACCGACGCCGATGACCTGGTATTTAAGCGACGCGTGTAACATGCATAACTGAAATACAGGTTCGTTACACACGAAGACGTTCAATCCCTAGCAGCACAATCGACCAGAATATCGCCCCTTCAAAAAACTCCCGTCCTATTCATAACCTTCCTGGTTCATCGCCACGGGCCGAGGGGAACCCATGCATATTTGCATAATATGAAACATTCAACGAGTCCGATCCTGTGTGTTCCTGATTCAGCACAATTCAATGGCTCAGGTCTCAGGGACCTTGGAAATCACGACGTCACTGTTGAACAGTGTAAGAAATGAACCTTTGTCCAGGACCTTTGTGAGGCTGGAAAAAAACCGGCGCCAGAGGTCGCGAGGCAACGCGGAAAACGATCGTCACTACCAACCTTGACTCTTGCCATGAAGAACAGTTCAAAAGGAATACAGTATTCAAACCGACGTCAGAATAAGTCTTCTAACGAAGCACGTTTACTTGGAGGATCAAGTCCGTGCAACACGGAAATCAAATCAACCGCGTCGATCCTCAACATCAACAACCCTGAAAACAATTATTTAATGCAGCCTATCTCCTCCTTTGGATACATCGTCGCCTTTCCGAGGGAAACAAAAAACTCGAAATATGCATCCAACTGCAAACTTTTTTCAACTAAACGAAGCTTACATACTTATTTGAAAATTATGATCTAATGCGGAAAAGGGTATTCATCAAATCTTCCGTGGTTCCTGGCAAAAAGCTTCGTCTTTTTACTAATGTATTTCGGAATAGCCTATCCATGGGCAATCAACGGTTGGGGCACATTATCCCCATCGTGGATAAAACTAGAAGCAATGATAAAGTTGAAAAGTGTTGGATACTAGGTAGAATACTCTTACATTTCAGTTTATCTGCATAACTAAAATGAAAGGAAAAAAACTAGCACTACGTACGTTCAAGCATTGGGAATCATAGTGCAGTTGAAGCTCACAAGTCAAACTTCAAGAAACCAGCAAAAAATTGACCCGGGAAGTTCCCCTAAGTCAAGTTAGGGATTTGGGGAAACAGATATTTTTTGCATGATATAAAAATAAAGAATTCAAGAATATTAAAATTGTTCGTCTTTTGCGCTTAAAACTGCGGAATAAAAAAGTTGACAGGATGCTGAATTGGAGGTAAGGCTTGATTTCGCCAATGAATCACTCACTTCCTTTTCAAAAGAATCGTCCCATTTTGACGCTTTTCTCTGAAAAACCAGAAGAATAACCGAAAGGCCTGCAAATATTCGAGTTCTGCAGGTTTGAGGGTGAAACTCCTCTTGTTAGGAAGGTTTATTTCATATCGTTCACAAGGGAATTCAGACGGGGGCTAAAATAAATCAACACAGGCAGGGTTTTTTTTTTTACACTCAGGAAGTTTGAGTTATTGAGACCCAACTGTAAAATGTTTCTGAGCAGTTTCTTTCAAGGAATGAGGTGATCAAAATACGTAAGTACGCCATCGTGAAAGTACAGTACTTGAAATAAACTTCTGTTCGAGCTATAATTCTGTTTTTCAATGATTATAGTCATTGAAATCTCACGGTTTAAGAAGTAGACCAACTGTACTGGTCCACTCCATACATTTCGCGGTTTGAAAGCGTCATTTCATTTTTCCTGGATGCCAGCGCACGGATTCGTCTGGGACTGAAGCCTTGTTGAAGCTTCGAATACTCGTATATTAGACGGCAAAAAAAGAAAGGAGTACGTTTTCGTGCCAAATGCATGTTCTCGGAAAATGGTGCTCGTGTGAGCTGTGCATGTCGTCACACAGGCAAAGTGCCAGCATGGTCGCAAAAACGCCAGTAGCCCAAGATATGAGAACTTTCATCATCGGATGTCACAAACCTATACTGTACAGTACCGTACTGTATTTCAATTCATGCGGGGATGCACGAAGTTCAGCGCATGATATGAAGACCTTGTTCCTCCTCGTCCATGTAAAAAATTGTAGGATAGATGATCAAATGACTTTTTATAAATCGGGTATCACCTTAAACATTTTATAATACCTCATCGATTTTTTTGGAGGGTGAAAGACAAAAAGACAGATCGAAAGTAGAAACACAACAGTCGGTATTCCAGTGCTTGAACTCGACGGGTGTTTTCTTTTCCATCAACATTGTGTAGCATTTTCTTCCATTTCTCTTGGTAACAGACATTTTCATACACAGGTGGACCATAAGCACTGAAGAATTTTACAGAACAATAAAACGAATACAGTACAGTAAATCAAGATCATTATCAAAACCCAAGGCAATACACTGCATAGGTGGAGCCTTTGATACACTAACTAAATCGAAAATTCGTTCCGTCTGTTGTAGAGCAATACGACCTGTTATGCACATCGTCCGAGAAAGTCACCGAGGAGGGTTCCATGTTTTCTATTTTCTTCACCGGTCCACTCTTGACAAGGAAAAAGTTCTGCAATGTCATGTACCGCGCTCCGAAGATAATCATGGATTGTATATGTTGGTAAATAGAAGACATTCCGTGTACGCAAATATTGGGATACCAAGGACTGGAATCAGAATGTAAATACTGTACTGTACTGGACTATTACTCCGAACGTAAAACTTCCAGAGCACGGTTCCCACGAGCACGATTTTCTCAGAAAATACATGGCGACGGAACCTCAAGCATTTCTATTATACCGCCTGTGGGTTCCGCATCTCAGAAACAGAAAGTGATCATGGTAGCCAGTAGTTCCAGTGTGTATTTAGAACGGGTGCTTCTCAGCACCAAAAGGAATAAAAACTTCAGACGATCGGCGAAAGCATCCAGTACCCCGATGAATAAATGAATGGCATACGAACTGTCTTGGAAATTTGAATGGCGCAACGATAACGCAGACATTCATGATTTCATGAAATGCGGCATTATTTTCAAGCACTGTACCTGCTTTTTCATTTGACCTCATTCTTTTCATCGGATAAATCTCGGCACCGCTTTCAGTAAACTACAGTCGAGGCTAAAATATCTCGAACATGGGCCACACCGAAGCTTTCTATCCTTTCCTCTTCTGGAAAAAGGGCGGTGTATTGTGGAGAAAATACGGTATCCCTGTTTTTACTTGCTAAGGCCCATCCACGTACTCGGTTAGGAATGACTAAATTCAATAATGTACAGTGTGCCAAAAACTAATTTTGAGAGATTCTTAAAAAATAATTCTTAATTAGCTAAAAGCCTGAAAGTGTGTTCAAGAGAATGCTTCATTGATAATTTGAATATTCCAATGTTTCCCACTGAAGTAGCTCTGCAATTTTGAATAACGTAAATTTACAGTATAGAATTTCGACAGGATGAGCTGTCTTTAACCACCTCCCTCTCAGTTTCTCTCGGATTTAGACCCCTCGTTCGAAATGGTCGCCTTTTGTCCTATTCTTGGAACTTCTGCATGATTGAAACGTTGGTGTTTTTAGACCAGAGCCGCGTGCTGCTCTTTCCGCGTCACTGGCGGATAGAACACCACCGCCGGACTCGAGAACTGCGTGACGCAGAACCCACCGATGACGTCACGACAGTAGGAATTAATATTAATGCTTACCAGAGGATGTACGCCCACGACAGTAGCGTGTTCAATGGGAGCCGTAATACTGGCTCGTGACGTGAGGAGGCCGAAAGAGTTCAATGCCGCGAACAAACGCAGAAAAAGTCTAATACTGTATCCGAAGGCCTCTCATCGGGAAACCGTATTGATTCGATTATAGACTGGACTTTTTCCAGCAGAATGAGCTGAAAAACGGCATGAACAAGATGGATTGGAAGGTAGACGGCAGTTCCTACACGGTGCTGCTCGAGATCCAAAGGAAATAAAAAAATGAGGCCACCAGAAAATCCGAGGAAAAACCATACCCTACACAGAAACCATCCAGGACATTCATCCTCTATTGATTTCTGATGCTCGATCAATAATTGCAGGTAGTGTACTCTAAGAAATTTTCAAGAAACCTATAAAACTTTCGAGAATCAAAACACCAACATTTAATTGGCAGGACAAATGTCAATTAAAATGATTGCTCTTTGCGATTTTTGGCCACATTTCCCTCAATAATTGAGCGGCTTATGCTGGGTGGCTCAAAAAATGTCGACTTCCTTACGAACAACTTTTTAATTAGTGATTCGAAAACTAAATCTATGCATGAATGAAGTTACACTCATCAATTAATTTTTGTAAATGTATACCGTATTCTCACCACTTATATGGTGAAAAGTACAGGTTAAAAAGCACTGAAGAAGATGCAGTATTCTGGGTTTCAAATATTTTTCAAATTGAATTTACAACACATTCGATCAAAGAAGATAACCAGACCTAAATCAAGAGCAGGTTCGAGATATTTATCCCGATTTCCGGTGAAATAGTGTGCAGTACTTCATGGAAAATAAACTGATAGAACTGAGTCACGTTATAAAGTACTAAATGTGTAATGTACTGTACTCTTCTTTGGAGAACTGTAATCACATCTGGGCATTAAGACGTGTTTCGACCGTTTCTAGTCTTGGTAATATCAAGCGCAGAAAACTGGTCCCAATTCCCTCGGCCACCCTCTATATTTTTCCATCAAATGGCTGCCAAGAATTAGGCAGCGACCATTAATGGCGTAAATACGATATTGCTTTCCAGCGGCATTGTCAGGTAACGGCTGAATGATTCCTCGCGCTGCATCGATGGGACACACACTTGAATGCTTCAATCCACACTTTCGTCAAATTCCTTCAAACAATGAACGTATGACCCGGGTATTCTGACATTGTAGGGACTGTCCGCGAATATTTGAAAAGCGTTGGCGACAGAAGAAAGAAATGGAACTCACCGGGACTTTTCCGGAATTGGGGCGGATACTCTGAATCGATGCGGTACTGGTCCTCCTTGAAGAACACGTAGCCTCAAGATCCTTTTGTGATCCAGGTGAGAGACAGTGCCTTCAATATCGACGCAGATAATTTCGTCACCGCTCAAAATAACATCGCATTAAAATGCGACGATAGCACCTTTGAAGAAAATAAGTCAACCCAGAGAATATACATATCGTCTCGAATTCACTCCAAAGTATTCAAATAAATTCGCCGAGTCTAAATTTCAAAGACTGTGACTTAAGGATGATTCGGTAACAATTGACAATCATGACTGGCGCGCCCCGAAACTGAACTGCATGTGCCAAACCCTGAACATCGTTTGCGCCAAACCTTTTTCGAGATTTCGTACCGAGAAAAAAAAGGAAAATATTTTCTTTCAAGTCCAGGAATAACGCAGTATGATGACCCCGGGCTCGGTTTAGATGGCACATTGCAAAATAACTATTCAAACACGTTTTAATCACATAATGTACTACACAGTAGTTACAATACTCGGTCTCACGCTTTCATGAAATTTCATCAGCACTTTTTGTCTACTATTGCTGTTCTGGGACGTGCTCCATCATGACGACACCCACAAACTCTATGCATTCCCAAGTTTCGCGGACTCTTTTCGCAGGTTTTTCCGTCGAATAGGTGATAACAAGGGATGAGGATACTGTCAAGAATGATCATCGACACAGGCCGTCACCAGCTCGATGAAAATGGCCGTGTATTCAACAAGAAAAGTGTGCATTTTTAAAAATAAGCCCCACACTCGCTACACGAGCAAAATTTATTCAAGGTTTCATGAAATGCGGTTGCTCGTGCAGAACCGTTTTCTGCACCGCGCCGACAGAGATGCAACAAGCGCGAAGAAGAAAGAAAAACTGCACTAACGGAGAACGGAAATCCGGAGGAAGAAATGAGTTCACAGCCAGCTGCCCTTGCGTGTCGATAAGCCACAAGAAGCACTGGAACCGCTTCCAACACACGCCTGTCCTCGAACATTTTCTTTCGGAAATAAGCAGCCACTTTTTTGGCAGACATGTGTGCTGAAAAATAGGTACCGGAGCTAGCGGGAAGGAATGCACGTTGAGTGCCTCATCAGACGTAGCTGACCATGTCCAATTAAAAATGCTCCAATAATTGTAAATCATTATGGACAACTGCTTCTTTGATTTGATATATCTCTAATGACAATACTGTCATTTACTTCCCGAAGGATCATCGAGACCATGGCATTCTGATCCAAAAACCCCTTTTACTCATCGGGTGCATACATACATGTACTGTACTTCTTGGTTTATCTAATCTTTGGTGGAGTATACATATTCATACGAAATGGAAATTGACTCGGATCCCGTGCAAATTCAAAGCCGACATTGCCAATGCTGTAAAGAAAATTTTTTTAATCTGGTGTTTCCCAGACCTAATTCGTATTCCAGTTCCAGTTAACGGTAATCAATTTCAAGAGGCAAATTTATTCGTTGCTTCGTGATTAAAATATTCTTGCGACCGCTCGTTCCCATTTCCCTTTCGACAATATGGCGATGAATAATTAACACAGCATTATCCAACCACGGTAAAAAAAATCTGGTTCATCTGCCTCGACTAAAATTATCGGGGTGATAAAAAAAGCGAAATGCAAAAGCAGCCGTCTCCAATGAGGCTTACCGGCACGCTGAAGTCGCAATTTTTTTTCTAAAAAAAAACCAATCAAGTTATTGGCAACACTTCCGTTTTTTGATTTTCTTAAAACAAGAAGGAAAATCATGGATACAGCATACAGTATTCGCGCATCCAATTCATTATCCAACGTGGTATAAACAACTTTCATGACACGACATTCCCATTTTTCCATATTTCAAGGAATATTTATTGTTTGAATTATGGGGAAAACATGTGTCCGAGTTCAGGTAGATGAATCAGCTCAGCATTGTCCGCCTTTTTTTTTTAACTCGGAAAGAAAATAGGCGGGCTCCAAGAGCCGAAAAAAATAAAATAATCTTCGTGCATTGTTCTGTAAAAAATTGGCTATCAGATTTCAAAGGTCCTCCCACTCTTAACAGCATAGCCAAGATTTCTGGGGATTGAAAGCGGCTATATATATATATATATATATACTGCATATATATATCTACGCTTCTAATGCATGGATAGCCCAGGGAAAAAAATCTTCATGACCAACATTCGCACATTTTACCATAACTCGCAGATTATTTATTATTGTAATCTGCTTGCAACATTTTGGAATAACAATGCACAAACATTTGATCTTTGTCTCGGCAATGGAAGCCCAAGGATGTTCCTTTGAACCCATAAGAAAATACTGTAATACGATGCTGCTGAGCTGATTCATAAACCCGAACTCATTTTTCTGTTAACTATTCAATATTTCTTGTACCGTATGAAATGAAAAGAACACGTTTTGGACATCGAAGCAGCATAACCTAAAAAAAATCGACGAGGTGAAAGCATGTCTACTAATTTTTAGGAAGAGAGCGGATTTTATTTCCTTTCAGTTGGCTTGCTTCGTGGAATGCTAGTGAATTTCCAGCAATGGCTATAAAAGCTTGACCATCTCATCGTGCGTTGTACAAACGAAGCCTATACAAGGAGAGAAGTACACAAGTGAAAAGCTCGCGAAGAAAGGATTTGAATTTTTAAATTATTTTACGGGAAGCATTATATTCCTCATCACCGAAGTAAACACTTCATGATCAAACAAAAACGAATGAGCTCCAGGATTTATTTTTCCTCCAGAGAAAAATTATATTTCTGAGGGGAAACGGTACTGGGTACTGGTATCCTTCGAAGAGCTTTTCGGGAAATTTAGGAGGAAAAATGTTAAGGATGAAGAACGGCAGGTTCTGAAAAGGCTGCAAGATTCACGCTTCACTCACATCCCGTTTTGAAGCACAGCTTTACAAATTTACCAAGATGGACAGAAAATTAGTCTCTCAAACTTTTCCTGTACGCCAAATGCGCTATAACGAAGGCTTTATCACTTCGAAAGATTGGAAAATTACGTTACGACACACGTGTCCCCCGGAGGGACACGAAAAACCCGATTTACGGATCAATGGAAGAAATCCCAACACTGTACTGGTACTGTGCCTTACTTTGATCTGAAAAGAAAACCCCCAATCGAATAACAGAAGATTACGCGGGTCGATTTATTTTCGAAGCGGAATAAAAAACGTACTCAAGCAATCATGAGTTGAGTTATTTGGCCGAAAAAAAAATTACGAAAACCCTGGTACAATCTATACGGTACTTCTGTGTCGAGGCAGGTACAGCCCAGGCCGCAACGCGATCTCATGTCTGCAACCCATAATTGGATGCATGAGTGGATGATGGCACAAGCTTATGGAAATTTCCATAAGCTTTTCGGTCACATCCTTTTCAAATGAGAATTCTGCGTCACAAAAAATCTCGCGTCCAGAAACATTGGCAGGTTCTGTCCACGCATCGGCCAAATTACGTTGCATCAAAGCTTCCAAAAGATTTGCGGCCTACACAGAACTCCGATTGTCCGGGTTTAGCTCAGCAGGGAGTTTGATTATCCGTTTTCAACGTCGTTCTCTAAGTGGGTCGTTCTATTCTTCCTGAGATCAGCTAATAATTCAGGATGAGGAACTTCAAAATTTCCAGAAATACCTGTGATGTCAGAATAAAATAATATTCTTCACACGTCGAACACAAATTTTAAATGCACCACATCCGAAAATGCGCGTTATTTGATTTTCCGATAAACGCACCAAGCGTCAATGGCTTTGATAACACGAGTTCTACACGCCTTTTTTTCACCACGCATCGTCAACATAAATCAAGGTGCGACCCACAAACACGTTAATAATATTTTATTTTCTCACCCGTAAGATTCTTTGCAGGAGGAACGCGAGAAGAGATGAGCCTAGTCCCCGCAAGAAAATGCGGAATCATAAAAGACGCCCCTCCAGGCGATCGCGAGACCTAATTTCCGAGAGAGTCTCGAAGCAAACGATCAAAAACGGGACAAAGCATGCGCAGCCAGAGCATCCCTGACCAACGAACCACGGAATGGAGGAAATAGGCGATGAAATGAAAATAACACGGTTAACCTCAATCCCAATTGCAGACCCCCCGAGTGATCTGACAAGAAATAGAATTTGGAGCCTCACGAGCGGGTCTCCGCAACAGGAAACCACAAATTCGACTTGAAATGCAAGCCCGGGTGTGCATGAGTAACGATCAGAGATTGAAACCCGCGACGCGACGAGATAACGAAGTCGGTATGGAAGTGTATTTGGGAATGCTATTCGAACGTTGCTCAACGTATCGCACGGATTTGGGCTGAGTAAAAACGGAGATTTTGAATAATCCGACGGCCTCGCCGCAGATGAGCGACGACGAACCGAAGCCAGTTCCGCATTCAGACGCAAGTCCTGGGGTCAGACGATGCTGCCGAGAAGCGACAGAGAGGACCACTCGGCTCACAGGGTATGGTCAGGAATTGTGTCGTTCAAGGGATCGCAACACTGACCACAGTACAAGGATCGGTTTTTTTTCAGACGTGTCGACGTAACCGCCGTCCACGTTTTTCGTTGCGGGAGTAAAGGACTTGTCCACTGAGTGAGGTGTTTCTAGGAAGCTCTAGTTCTTTGAGTAGAAATAGTTCTCTTAAGGGCGCTCATACATAGTGAGTCAAGTAAGACCAGACAAGATTTCGCTGAAATGCATGCAGAATGACACTGTGACTTGATTGTGGCGTGATTCATAATTTGGAGCAAGAGAAATTGGTTTAATATTTACAACTCTTCAGATTCGGGCATGAATCTGAGGAACCATCGAACACTTCTGATCTTTCCAATTTTTCATTTCCCCATCAGATCGGGCACTGAGAATAACCTTAAATTCGTTAAGAAACAGCTGAATTCTACCGTCACCGAATTGTTTTTGCTAACATTTTAAAAAATAATGATTTGGGGAAATTCTCCAAAAGAAATTAAATGTAAATGAACATTTACGTCAGGTCGGCTGCTTTTACACGACTAGAAGGCGACTCAATTAGAACAACCTTCCTCAGAATGTATCACCCCTTGAACGCACGGAAATTTCCTTACTGGGGTGAATTTTCAAGAGTGCTAATGCGAACAAAATGATAAAATCGAACATCAGT